ACCTAGACAAACCCCAATTTATAAAAGTCAATAAGTTAACTTATAAAAAGATGCTCAAATTCACCAGTTATCAGGGAAATAAAAAGTGAAAAAGATACCAATTTTCATATATCAAATTGATAATCAAGCTAATAATGGCCAGTATTGACAAGGCTATGGAAAAATAGGAACTCTTACACAGTTTGTGGGAATGTAAACATGCACAGCATTTTGGGGAAGCAATTTGACAATATATCAGTGTTGTAAATACACATTGCATTTTGATTTTGAAATTCCACTCCTAGGGAACTATCTTAACAGGAGCAAAGCCACATAAATGCTCAAAGAACCAAGTTTAAGGGTGTTATGGCTGAAACTGCTAGTTGCGTACCTACTCTCTATCCTTTCTGTTTCTAACTATATATTTGGTGGTAGTGATGTGCTTAACTAAAAATTAACATTTCTCAGACCCCTTAATAATACAGGGCAAGGCAATGAGATACAAGCAGAAGTCACTGGGTGGGACTTGAGAAAAAGCCTCTTACCTTTCCCTTCTTCTCTTCTCTTGCAATGTCCAGAACTTGTATATGATTGTTAGGGCTCCAGCAGCCATCCTGTGACCTCAAGAATGGAAACCACACATCAAGGGACAGAAAAATATATAAGGAGTCTTACCATGGCTGCTCTGCATTGATTCTTACAGAGTTTATCTGAAAACAAGATTGCAATTTATTTAGGCCATCATGATTAGATCTCTCTCACTAGCAGCTGAATGTATTTCTGACAGACAGAAGTTTGCTCTAACACTGCTTTAAAATAGAGGGAATAATGTAAGCAGTAGAAATGCCTCTGGCTCCCACTTTCCTGAGATTTTCTAGATTGAATTCCAGTGTTAGTACATGAAAATCTTGACATTGAACCCCCTTTTTTTCTTAAAATAACTTGATCTTGGCCCCACTTCAGCACATTACTCCCAAACTGCTAGAGAAGCAAACTTGTAGTGTAAATATTTTTAAATTTTTGGAAAAAAGAAGACATAAATTAAACAAGATTCAATAACTATATAAACTGTATGTGTGCTGTACTTACTAAGTCATTTTAGTCATGTCTGACTCTTTGAAACCCAATGGACTGTAGCCTGCCAGGCTTCTCTGTCCATGGGATTCTCCAGGCAAGAATACTGGAGTGGGTTGCCATACCCTCCTCCAGGGAATCTTCCCAACCCAGGGATCAAAACCATGTCTCTTATGTCTCCTGCATTGGTAGGCAGGTTCTTTACTACTAGCACCATGTGGGAAACCCATATAAACTGTATATAAAACCTCAAATTATATCAACTAAAACTGAGAATTGGGAGAAAGAGAGGAAACATACTCAGTTCTCATTGAACATGGGAAAGGAAATAGCATTCTATGCATAGTGTTGATGATAAGAGGAAAAACATGTTCAAACTCATTTTTATTTATTTATAGAAAGCTACAACAAAATTGAAAATAGGATGGTTATCATCAAAACCATTAAAAAGGTAGAGAAGGTAAAGAAATAGAGTCTATATGAGTAAGTCTACAAACTTTTTATGGCAGGGTTGTGAAAGACAAAAGATTTTAAGCAGGCAATCCCACCATATGTATACTTATTAATTGTGAATCACATTTTTAAAATCATACACTAGAAGTTAAAATATATTTAAAAATCTCTAAAAACATGAGATATCCATATCCATGAAATAAACAGTATTTTAATAGTTGCATTTCATGATGGTTCATACAACCTTAGCTTATACTTCAAGACTCAATATGCATTTACAGTAAGGTTTATTATTATTGGTAGTGGAGACAAATCCATATTTCATAGGATATTCTTGAATTTTTGTGAGTTTGAATTTTTTACTTCAAAAATTAAAGCAAGGACATTTAGACTATTTACATTATTCTTCTATTTTAAAGCAACACTACAAAAACATTTGTGTCTGTTAGAAATATACTTGGCAACTAGTAAGAGAGATCCCATCTTGGCCTAAAAACTTTGAATTTTTTTCACCAATATTTTCCATCCATCTCCAAATGTCAAATTTTACCAATATATACATTATTTCTAATTTGATGCTAAGATGTAAATTTCCTCCTCCAAGATTCCTTTCTAGACTTACACTTGGAAATTTCCAAACATGTTATTTGTATTTAAGTTTCTGGTGAGTTTCTTGTCCAGCTTAATTCAGTCACCAATTTTGCCTCATAATGTACTGACAACTTAATCAGGTGTAGGAGAGGGTCAGCTGTCTTCTTCTTATTCTTTCCCTTACATGTGTTTTCTCTAGTTCACACTTGTCAGGAGAGCTTCTTGCTTTAACCACTCTATTCTGGTTAATTCAATGATGTTCATGCCTTCAAGAGCTATCATCTGAAACTGACCCAGCAAATGAGAGTGCCACTCTCGACCTTGGCATTTCTTCTGAGGTAGTTCACTCACCTGTAACTGACAAATAGACCAAGTTGGGGTGTCAGGGAAATTCTATTATGTGCTATGGGTGGGTTCTTCTTTCCTATTGTAAATAAAAATAGAGATAGAAAATTTTTCTATTTTATTCTTCTATTTCAGTGGATCATCTCAGGTAACACATCTTGGAGACTACTACTTTATCTATCTAAAAAGTTAATGTTTTTTTTTTTCATTATATTTTAAAATGCACAAACATACCCAGGGGGAACTATAGGAGAGTGCTTATGATCAATTGAAAAAACAGACAGAGGAACTGAATAGACATTTTACAAAAAAGACATATAGGGGAGGAGCTAAGATGGCAGAGGAATAGGACAGGGAGACTACTTTCTCCCCTACAAATTCATTGAAGGAACATTTGAACGCTGAGCAAACTTCACAAAACAACTTCTGACTGCTAGAAGAAGACATCATACGCCCAGAAAAGCAGCCCATCGTCTTCGAAAGGAGGTAGGGCAAAATATAAAAGATAAAAAGAGAGACAAAAGAGATAGGGATGGAGACCCATTCCAGGAAGGGAATCTTAATAGAGGAAGTTTCCAAACACCAGGAAACCCTCGCACTGGCGGGTCTGGGGGAAGTTTTCAAATCTCGGAGGGCAACCTAACTGGGAGGAAAAATAAATAAAACCAACAGATTACATGCCTAAAAGCAACTCCCAGCAGAAGAGTACCCCAGTTGCCTGCATCTGCCACCAGCAAGTGGGGGCGGAATGGAGGGGAGCGGGCAGCATTGCTTAGGGTAAGGACCCGGCCCGAATGCCATGAGGGCAATCGGAGGGAGCTAACATGAGATAGCAACATAAACTGTGGGATAGCAAGAGAGAGAGAGAGAGAAAATTAACCGGCCAAATACACTGCCAGCCATTCACAGAACAAAGGGACTGAGCAATTCCAAAGAAGAGCTAGCCAGCGGCAGACCGGCCCATCCTCCGCTGGAGGCAAGGGGGAGGGGAAAGGGGCAAACTCGGCCCCAGAGACGGCATCCCCTACCAAACTTCAAACAGGCTTCCAGTTTCTAACCAAAGACTTCCTGAGATTCTGGATGGTTGACATCCACCAGGAGGGCCTCAGCTAGAGGCCAGCTCCTGAGAAGACACAAGGCGTGAGCGCGGAAACTGAGGCTGGGACCGCGGAGGGGATGAGGTGCACCACACCGGGGAGAGTGTGTCCGTCAAGCTCCTGGCTGCCTGAGCTGCTCCAGCCGGGGAAGGCACAAAACGCAGGCCCAAATGAGTCCACGCTTTTGTGGAATACCAGAAAACTGGAACCGCTCGCAACGCAGGGCCCGCTCCATATAGAGCAGCCGGGAGCCTGAGCAGTGTAGACAGGGAAAGCATACACCCGTAAGTGGGAGCAAACCCACTGTGGCCAGAACACTGCGAGTGCTCCCCACACACAGCGATATCTGCCTGCAGCGCCCCTCCCTCCCCAGAGCACGACTGAACAAGCGAACCTGAACAAGAGACCACCTGTGCCCACCTGTGTCAGGGTGGAAATTAGACACTGAAGAGACTGGCAAACAGAAGCCAAATAAACAAAGGGAACTGCTTCAGAAGTGACCGGTGCAACAGATTAAAACCCTGTAAGTAACACCAACTACACCAGAAGGGGCCTATAGCTATCGAGAAGTGTAAGCTGGAACGAGGAGCTCTCTGAAACTGAACCAAACCCATACTGACCACAACAGCTCCAGAGAAATTCCTAGATATATTTTACTTTTTTTTTAATTAAAAAAACTTTTTTTCTTTTCTTTTTTAAAATTTTTTCTCTTATTTTCTTTTAAATTCCCTATTACTCCTCCATTACTCCTTAACTTTCATTTTCATTTTCATATATTTTTACTACTTTTTAGTTAGAATTTTTTTTTCTTTTTTATTTTTTCTCTTATTTTATTTTAAAGTCCTCTATTACTCCTCTATAACTCCTTAATTTTCATTTTCATTTCACTATAACCTTGCAAAAAAAAAAAGACCCCTATTTTTAAACCAAACTTCATATATATTTCTAAAATTTTTTGTGTTTTTGTTTTTGTTTTTAATGTTGTATTTTTAAGAGTCTAACCTCTACTCTAGATTTTTAATCTTTTTTTTTTCAGTATTTGATATCAATTTTGGACATTTAAGAATCCAATATTCAGTACCATTTTTACTCAGGAGTGTGTTGATTACTCTCTCCCACTTTTGACTCTCCATTTTCTCCCTCAGATCATCTCTATTTCCTCCCTCCCCCTTCTCTTCCCAATCCAATTCTGTGAATCTCTGTGGGTGTCTGGGCTACTGAGAACACTTTGGGAACAGAGAACTGTGTAGATCTGTCTCTCTCCTCGTGAGTCCCCCTTTTTCTCCTCCTGCTCATTTCTATCTCCCTCCTCCCTCTCCTCTTCTTCATGTAACTCTGTGAACCTCTCTGGGTGTCCCTCATGGTAGAGAATCTTTTCACCATTAACCTAGAAGTTTTATTATCAGTGCTGTATAGTTGGAGAAGTCTTGAGACTACTGGAAGAATAAGACTGAAATCCAGAGGCAGGAGACTTAAGCCCAAAACCTGAGAACACCAGAAAACTACTGACTACAGGGAGCATTAAGTAACAAGAGACCATCCAAAAGCCTCCATACCTACACTGAAGCCAACCACCACCCAAGAGCCAATAAGTTCCAGAGCAAGACATACCACGCAAATTCTCCAGCAACGCAGGAACATAGCCCTGAGCGTCAACATACAGGCTGCCCAAAGTCACACCTAACACATAGACCCATCTCAAAACTCATTACTGGGCACACCATTGCACTCCAGAGAGAAGAAATCCAGTTCCACGCACCAGAACACCGATGCAAGCTTCCCTAACCAGGAAACCTTGACAAGCCAATTGTCCAACCCCACCCACTGGGTTAAACCTCCACAATAAAAAGGAACCACAGACCACCAGAATACAGAAAGCCCACTCCAGACACAGCAATCTAAACAAGATGAAAAGGCAGAGAAATACCCAACAAGTAAAGGAACATGAAAAATGCCCACCAAGTCAAACGAAAGAGGAGGAGATAGGGAATCTACCTGGAAAAGAATTTAGAATAATGATAATAAAAAATGATCCAAAGTCTTGAAAACAAAATGGAGTTACAGATAAATAGCCTAGAGACAAAGATTGAGAAGATGCAACAAATGTTTAATAAGAACCTAGAAGAAATAAAAAAGAGTCAATTAAAAATGAATAATGCAATAAATGAGATCAAAAACACTCTGGGGGGAACCAACATTAGAATAATGGAGACAGAAGATAGGATAAGTGAGGTAGAAGATAAAATGGTGGAAATAAATGAAGCAGAGAGGAAAAAGGAAAAAAGAATCAAAAGAAATGAGGACAACCTCAGGGACCTCTGGGACAATGTGAAACGCCCCAACATTCGAATCATAGGTGTCCCAGAGGAAGAAGACAAAAAGAAAGGCTTTGAGAAAATACTTGAGGAGATAATAACTGAAAAGTTCCCTAAAATGGGGAAGGAAGTAGCCACACAGGTCCAAGAAACCCAGAGAGTCCCAAACAGGATAAACCCAAAGCAAAACACCCCAAGATACATATTAATCAAATTAACAAAGATCAAACACAAAGAACAAACATTAAATGCAGCAAAGGGAGAAACAACAAATAACACACAAAGGGATTCCCATAAGGATAACAGCTGATCTTTCAATAGAAACCCTCCAGGCCAGAAGGGAATGGCAGGACATACTTCAAGTAATGAAAGAGAATAACCTACAACCTAGATTACTGTACCCAGCAAAGATCTCATTCAGATATGAAGGAGAATTCAAAAGCTTTACAGACAAGCAAAAGCTGAGAGAATTCAGCACCACCAAACCAGCTCTTCAACAAATGCTAAAGGATCTTCTCTAGAAAGGAAACATAGAAAGGTTGTATAAACGTGAACCCCAAACAACAAAGTAAATGACAATGGGACCATATTTATCAATAATTACCTTAAATGTAATTGGGTTGAATGCCCCAACCAAAAGACAAGGACTGGCTGAATGGATACAAAAACAAGACCCCTATATATGCTATCTACAAAAGACCCATCTCAAAACAAGGGACACACACAGACTAAAAGTGAAGGGCTGGAAAAAAATATTTCACACAAATGGAGGCCAAAAGAAAGCAGAAGTCGCAATACTCATATCAGATAAAATAGACTTTTAAATAAAGGCAGTGAAAAGAGACAAAGAAGGACACTATAGTGATCAAAGGATCAATCCAAGAAGAAGATATAACAATTATAAATATATATGCACCCAACATAGGAGCACCACAATATGTAAGGCGAACTCTAATGAGTACGAAAGAGGAAATTAATAGTAACACAATAATAGTCGGAGACTTTAATCTCCCACTCACAACTATGGATGGATCAACTAAACAGAAAATTAACAAGGAAACACAAACTTTAAATGACACAATGGACCAGCTAGACCTAGTTGATATCTATAGGACATTTCACCCCAAAACAATCACTTTCACCTTTTTCTCGATTGCACACAGAACCTTCTCCAGAATAGATCACATCCTGGACCATAAATCTAGCCTTGGGAAATTCAAAAAAATTGGAATCATTCCAGTCATCTTTTCTGACCACAGTGCAGTAAGATTAGATCTCAATTACAGGAAAAAAATTATTAAAAATTCAAACATGTGGAGGCTAAATAACATGCTTCTGAATAACCAACAAATCACAGAAGAAATCAAAGAAATCAAAACATGCACAGAAATGAATGAAAATGAAAACACAACAACCCCAAAACTATGGGACACTGTAAAAGCAGTGCTAAGGGAAAGGTTCATAACATTACAGGCTTACCTCAAGAAACAAGAAAAAAGTCAAATAAATAACCTAACTCTACACCTAAAACAACTAGAGAAGGAAGAAATGAAGAACCCCAGGGTTAGTAGAAGGAAAGAAATCTTAAAAATTAGGGCAGAAATAATGCAAAAGAACTAAAGAGACCATAGCAAAAATCAACAAAGCTAAAAGCTGGTTTTCTGAAAATATAAACAAAATTGACAAACTGTTAGCAAGACTCATTAAGAAACAAAGAGAGAAGAACCAAATTAACAAAATTAGAAGTGAAAATTGAGAGATCACAACAGACAACACTGAAATACAAAGGATCATAAGAGACTACTACCAACAGTTCTATGCCGATAAAACGGACAACTTGGAAGAAATCGACAAATTCTTAGAAAAGTATGACTTTCCAAAACTGAACCAGAAAGAAATAGAAGACCTTAACAGACCCATCACAAGCAAGGAAATCGAAACTGTAATCAGAAATCTTCCAGCAAACAAAAGTCCAGGACCAGATGGCTTCACAGCTGAATTCTACCAAAAATTTAAAGAAGAGGTAACACCTATCTTACTCAAACTCTTCGAGAAAATTGCAGGAGAAGGTAAACTTCCAAACTCATTCTATGAGGCCACCATCACCCTAATTCCAAAACAAGACAAAGAAGCCATAAGAAAAGAAAACTACAGGCCAATATCACTGATGAACATAGGTGCAAAAATCCTTAACAAAATTATAGCAAATAGAATCCAACAACATATTAAAAAAATCATACATCATGACCAAGTGGGCTTTATCCCAGGAATGCAAGGATTTTTCAGTATCCACAAATCAACCAATGTAATACACCACATTAACAAAATGAAAGATAAAAACCATATGATTATCTCAATAGATGCAGAAAAAGCCTCTGACAAAATTCAACATCCATTTATGATTAAAACTCTCCAGAAAGCAGGCATAGAAGGAACATACCTCAACATAATAAAAGCTATATATGACAAGCCCACAGCAAGCATGACCCTCAATGGTGAAAAATTGAAAGCATTTCCCCTAAACTCAGAAACAAGACAAGGGTGCCCACTCTCACCACTACTATTCAACATAGTTTTGGAAGTTTTGGCCACAGCAATCAGGACAGAAAAAGAAATAAAAGAAATTCAGATAGGAAAAGAAGAAGTGAAACTCTCGCTGTTTGCAGATGACATGATGCTCTACATAGAAAACCCTAAAGACTCTACCAGAAAATTACTAGAGATAATCAATGAATATAGGAAAGTTGCAGGATATAAAATTAACACACAGAAATTCCTTGCATTCCTATGCACTAACAATGAGAAAACAGAAAGAGAAATTAAGGAAACAATACCATTCACCATTGCAACAAAAAGAATAAAATACTTAGGAGTATATCTACCTAAAGAAACGAAAGACCTATGCATAGAAAACTATAGAACACTGATGAAAGAAATCAAAGAGGACACAAACAGATGGAGAAATATACCGTGTTCATGGATTGGAAGAATCAATATTGTCAAAATGACTATACTACCCAAAGCAATCTATAGATTCAATGCAATCCCTATCAAGCTACCAATGGTATTTTTCACAGAACTAGAACAAATAATTTCACAATTTGTATGGAAATACAAAAAACTTCGAATAGCCAAAGCAATCTTGAGAAAGAAGAATGAAACTGGAGGAATCAACCTGACTTCAGACTATACTACAAAGCCACAGTCATCAAGACAGTATGGTACTGGCACAAAGACAGAAATATAGATCAATGGAACAGAATAGAAAGCCCAGAGATAAATCCACGAACCTATGGACACCTTATCTTCGACAAAGGAGGCAAGAATATACAGTGGAAAAAAGACAACCTCTTTAACAAGTGGTGCTGGGAAAACTGGTCAACCACTTGTAAAGAATGAAACTAGAGCACTTTCTAACACCATACACAAAAATAAACTCAAAATGGATTAAAGATCTAAATGTAAGACCAGAAACTATAAAACTCCTAGAGGAGAACATAGGCAAAACACTCTCTGACATAAATCACAGCAGGATCCTCTATGACCCACCTCCAAGAATATTGGAAATAAAAGCAAAAATAAACAAATGGGACCTAATGAAACTTAAAAACTTTTGCACAACAAAGGAAACTATAAGCAAGGTGAAAAGACGGCCCTCAGAATGGGAAAAAATAATAGCAAATGAAGAAACGGACAAAGGATTAATCTCAAAAATATACAAGCAACTCCTACAGCTCAATTCCAGAAAAATAAATGACCCAATCAAAAAATGGACCAAAGAAATAAACAGACATTTCTCCAGAGAAGACATACAGATGGCTAACAAACATATAAAAAGATGTTCAACATCACTCATTATCAGAGAAATACAAATTAAAACCACAATGAGGTACCATTACACACCAGTCAGGATGGCTGCTATCCAAAAGTCTACAAGCAATAAATGCTGGAGAGGGTGTGGAGAAAAGGGAACCCTCTAACACTGTTAGTGGGAATGCAAACTAGTACAGCCGCTATGGAGAACAGTGTGGAGATTCCTTTAAAAACTGGAAATAGAGCTGCCATATGACCCAGCAATCCCACTTCTGGGCATACACACCGAGGAAACCAGATCTGAAAGAGACATGTGCACCCCAATGTTCATCACAGCACTGTTTATCATAGCCAGGACATGGAAGCAACCTAGATGCCCATCAGCAGACGAATGGATAAAGAAGCTGTGGTACATATACACCATAGAATATTACTCAGCCATTAAAAATAATTCATTTGAATCAGTTCTAATGAGATGGATGAAACTGGAGTCCATTATATGGAGTGAAGTAAGCCAGAAAGATAAAGACCATTACAGTATACTAACTCATATATATGGAATTTAGAAAGATGGTAACAATAACCGTAGATGCAAAACAGAAAAAGAAACACAGGTGTACAGAACAGACTTTTGGACTCTGTGGGAGAAGGCGAGGGTGGGTTGTTCCGAGAGAACAGCATCGAAACATGTATATTATCAAGGGTGAAACAGATCACCAGCCCAGGTTGGATGCATGAGACAAGTGCTCAGGGCTGGAGCACTGGGAAGACCCAGAGGGATAGGGTGGAGAGGGAGGTGGGAGGGGGGATCGGGATGGGGAATACATGTAAATCCATGGCTGATTCATGTCAATGTATGGCAAAAACCACTGCAACATTGTAAAGTAATTAGCCTCCAACTAATAAAAATAAATGAAAAACAAAAAATGGAAGACATACAAATGGCCAACAGGTACATGAAAGACACTCAACATCCCTAATCATCAGGGTAATGCCATCAAAAATACAATAAGAAACCATCTCACATCTGTTAGAATGCCTATTGTCAAAAAGACAAGAGACAATAAATATGGTGAGGCTCTGGAGAAAAGGAAATCCTTGTCCACTGTTGTTGTTATTTAGTTGCTAAATTGTGTCTGACTCTTTTGCAACCCCATACATAGACTGCCAGGCTCCTCTGTCGATGGGATTCCTCAGGCAAGAATACTGGAGTGGGTTGCCATCTCCTTCTCTAGGGGGTCTTTCTGACCCAAGGATTAAATCTGAGTCTTCTGCATTGCAGGTGGATTTTTTTTACCACTGAGCCACCAGGGAAGTTCTAGTCACTGTTCAGTTCAGTTCAGTTCAGTCGCTCAGTCGTGTCTGACTCTGCGACCCCATGAATCACAGCACGCCAGGCCTCCCTGTCCATCACAAACTCCTGGAGTTTACTCAAACTCATGGTCACTGTTAGTGGGGCTGTAAATTGGCATAGCCTTTATGTAAAACAGTATCAAACTTCCTCAAAAAATTTAAAATAGAACTGCTATATGATCCAGTAATTCCACTTCTGTGTATATATCTGAAGGAAATGAAATCAGGATCTCAAAGACATATTTGCCCCATTCCCCAACTCCATGTTCATTTCAGTCAAGACATGGAAACACCTAAATGCCCATTGGTGGATGAACAGATAAAGAAAATATCCTGCCATAAAAAGAAGGAAGTTTTGCCTTTTGTGAGAACTTGGTGGACCTTGAGGGCCATGTGATAGGGGAAATAAATCAGACAGAGAAAGGCAAGTACTGTATGATCTCACTTATATGTAGGATCTAAAAAAGCTGAACTCGTAGAAATAAAAAGTAGAATGGTCATTGTCTGGGCTGGCAGATAGGGAGATGTTGGTCAAAAAGTACAAACTTTAGATAACTAAGATGAATAAACTCTGGGGATCTACTGCATGGCAAGGTGACTGTAATTAACAATACTGCATTATATACTTGAAACTTGTCAAAAGAATAAATCAATCCTAAGTGTTATCATCACACACACACAGTCATTATGTGAGGGGTGAGAGATGTTAACTACCCTCATTGTGGTAATTATTTTGCAGTCATACATGTATCTCATGATCATGTGTACTTTTAAACTTATATGTACTATATGTCAATAATGTCATGATAGCCTGGAAAAATAGAATGTTTATAATGCTTAGATTTATGAGGTGTGATAACAAGTGATTCTTTATTCTTCTGTACAGTTTTCTATATTTTCCAAATTTTAAATAATCAACATGGATAATTTTTATCAGGAAAAAAACCCTCTAATTTTTTACTTTCTGCTTTGACTCATGAGGCAAGGAGAGACTCCAGTGCCGAGAGGATCAGAGAAGAGAGGGGCGGGGAGAGACCAGAGGAGGAGCCAAAGGTCTAACACAGTCCACAGGCAGTCATGGACTCCCTATGCAGCAGCTGGCTCCCCACCCAGACACTGATTCTCCAAATCAGCCTCATTTTTGGTGAGTGACAGGACAGGTGGGGCTGCTCCTGGGACAGGGTGGTGAGAGGCTGAGTCAAGTGTGAGGAAGACTGGTGGGCAGCTGGGGCTTGCCTGGTATCAGCATCCTGTTTCTCAAGTTTCTTTGAAGGTTGAACGGGAGGAAAGAGGGATGAGGGCCTTTCTGGAATGTCTGCAAGTTCCTCAGGATGGGAAAATCACCATCAAACCCTTACTTCAAAAGGTGGTTATTAGCCCTGCTTTGTGGGGCTGCTGCTGCTGAAATGATTAGAGCAGTGTCTCATTTTTTAGATTCTGGTTTGCAAAACTGTCTCCACAATCTCAGGCCCTTCTCTCCATCCCCTATCCGCCCCCATCCCCCCAGACTTCTTCCTTCTTCTCTTTACAGCCTGAGGGGGACATATGGGGTGAGTGGGGGACCAGGACAAGCTCCCATTGCCCCATATTCAGGCACATCTGAGCTGTGGGGACATCTGCAGAGGTGGGGAATAGTGGGGTTGGGGGGAGGTGGGAGAAGTGGGCTCCTGACCTCTCATATGATGACCTTTATGTATGGTTACAGCTGATGACCTTTATGTGCGGTTACAGTTGTTTTCAACTCTGCGGAGGCTGGGATAAGGGTGCAGATGCTGTCTTGTGTGTAGATTGTGAATTGGCCCCCTGACTTTGTACGCCAACCTGTTTATGGTGCAAAGTAAGGCTAAACTCTGCAGTCAGACCCATTGGGTCACAAATTCTGGTCCTGCCCCATATTGGCCATAAAATCTTCAGCCAACGTATATACCCTGGGACAAGTGGGCTTTACCTGTCTGAGCTTCAGCTTCCTCACTTGTAAAATGGATAGAATAACACCGAACTTCATGTGTCATTTGGGAAATTAAATGAAACAGAGCACATTCTGACCAGTGTCTGATGTAGGGACACAGAATACTCATGTACATCGTGTTATACTTTTCTATCTTGATGAAAGATTTGCCAAGAGACATTTAAAAGACTAAAAGTATTGTTTTACTGTTTCATAATTAATAGTTTTATCATAATCCATGGCCCTCACTGTCCTAACCCTCCCCACCCCCCACTCCCCACAGAGAACTCTGACCTCTTAATTCAAGGATAGGGGAACCTCTGCTTTTTGAAAGAAATTACTCTTCTCTCCCTGTTTCTGACCCTTTTTTCTCTCCCCAACCTCTAGGAAAATGATCCCATTTACATTTCTCAGCAAGGAAACAGCTGCTCCCTTAGTGGCTTCCACCATCTGAATTCTTTTTCCTTTTTCTAGTCAACAAATGCTAAATTTCCTCATTGGGGTCATGGAGTTTGTGCGACCAGTGAGCCATTTAGGTTGTCCTGATTTTTTTTTTTTTTTTTGAGATGTAGTTACGTCTAGGCTGGCCCCTCTGTGCTCTTTCACTGTTCCGCCATTATAGCACCTCTCAACGTTCTCAGAGAGCTGTGTAGATGGGAGCGCAAGGGCTACATAGGAAGCCATCTGCCCATCTGCTCTGTCTGTGTACTTTTAGTTTCCAAACAACCACTGAGGTCTGGAAGTTCCCCCAATGAAAGTGCAGCTGTTTCTGCCTCATGCAAACAGGCATCAGCAGAATTATAAGCATATTGAGAGCAACAATAACAAGGCTGTAAGTATGTAAATCCCACTTGAGAAGGGAGGGCAGGTAGCTGGGTGGGTCCCAGTGGCTCTAGCCACAGTGTCCTTTACATTCCTTAAACAGTGACAAAACAAGAACTCTTTCCTGTGAATGCATCCTAGATTAAAGATGATTCAGGCAGTACTGGTTTCATACTTTGAAGAATTGATGTTGATTGAGCTAGTGAGTGCTTGCCCTTTATTTAAAATTATAATTTCAAGGCATTTAAAGGATATGGCATCATATCATCATATTTAATTTCAGTTCCTTAAAAATTTGCAAAAGAAAGTTTTATGGGTGTATTTTTTCATGTGTTCTTAAGGCAGGGCACACAGGATGTTTTGGTATACATGAGAGATGGAAATGACCTTATTTACACTGTTCTTACCAGCCTTTCAGTCATTGTTGGATTTGGTCTTTTTCTGCATGTTCTAATGGATTCCAGAAGCTGCACTAGAAAAAGAATTGGAAATCAGGAATTGGGATCTAAGGATAGTGGCATCAACTTTTCTCTAGTCATTTTTCTCAGTTTTCTTGTAAATTGTAACTTTATCTCCCTTATCATGTAAAGAATATTTTCTGTAGCCTGAGAGAAATAATTTAATAAATTTCTTTAAATATAAGAGAGAGAACAAACCAAAAGCCAAAAGCCAAAACAAAAACCCAAAACCCAAAACCCAAGAGTCAGGCAGCTTGCAACCACACAAATATACAGATCTAAGCTTTACAGCCTTATGGAGCTCTTGCAAACTCTCTTCATCAAATTGCTAGCCTCTGGAAAGTCCCTCATTCCTATCTTTTCCTAAACCCTGACTATTTGCTTTCTCTTTAGTGATTTAGTTCCCTCTTCAAAAACACTAAACATTGCTTTGCAGTGTTTTGTCTGAAAGAAAAAGAAACCAATGAATCACAGCTACCAGCCCACCAGCATGATCTTGTGTTTCCAGTCTTTCAAAACCCTTCCTTGAAAACCTAAATACCCAAAAGAAGAAATTAAAAGCAGGAAATAACCATGTATACAAAGAAAGTTAAACAAAACTCTATTCTGCTTAACTTTATGCAAATATATTGAAAACTGAGATGCAGTGGCTCCAGAAAAATATAATTTACCAATACTGAATCCAGAAGAGAAAAAAAATCTAAGCAGTTAAATGAGCTGCTTTGGAAACACACTCCTGTGTTTCTCCTCTATTCTCATGCTGCTAGCACACTACTTCTGATGCCGGATGTAAGAATTATTTTCCTCACACCAAGCAATTTTGTCATTTACCAGTTACCACCTGGGCTTCCTAGAATTTGACTCAGTTATAACACTATCTGCCTGTCAGATCAGCTTGTCAGATCCCACAGATTAAAGGTTCAATCCCTTATTCTCTCCCAACTTCAGACACTTGTAACAAGTCCAGGTTAGCTGTGCTTCTGACAGACAGGCTATAAATTAGAGGTTCCCATGATCTTCTTGTTAGGTTTGGTTAATTTGCTAGAGCAGTTCACCGAACAATAGGAGATCAGTTTACTTACTAGATCACTGGTTTATTATCTAAAACCGTAACCTGAACAGCCAGATGAGCAAGATGGATCAGGCCAAGTATGTGGGAAGAGGTGCTAAGCTTGCATGCCCTCTCCTGGTATGCCACCCTCCCACCACCTACTTGTGTCCACCAACCCAGAAGCTCTCCTAGCCCCATCCTTTTGGTTTTTTATGGGGACTTCATTACACAGGCAGAATTGATTGAATCACTGGCCACTGATGATTAAACTCAGTTGCTAGCCCTTCTCCCCTGTCAGGATAACAGAGTGTGGGACTGAAAGTTTCAACTTGCTAACAGGTTTGGTCCCCCTGACAACCAGCTCCCATCCCAAGGAGCTTTCCCTGTCAGGATAACAGAGCGTGGGACTGAAAGTATCAACTTGCTAACAGGTTTGGTTCCCCTGACAACCAGCTCCCATCCCAAGGAGCTTTCCAAAGTCACCTAATGAACATAAATTTCAGTTGTGGTATAAAAGGGGTTTGTTAGGGACAATGAAAGATACCCATTTCACCTTTGCTGCTCTGGAGCTAATTCAGGAACTGGGAACAATACTCAGTTCAGTCACTCAGTCTTGTTTGACTCTTTGCAACCCCATGGACCGCAGCACATCAGACTTCCCTGTCCATCACCAACTCCCAGAGCTTACTCAAACTCATGTCCTTTGAATTGGTGATGCCATCCAACCACCTCAGCCTCTGTCATCCCCTTCTCCTCCTGCCTTCAATCTTTCCCAGCATTAGGGTCTTTTCAAGTGAGTCAGTTCTTCACATCAGGTGTCCAAAGTATTGGAGTTTCAGATTCAGCATCAGTCCTTCCAATGACTATTCAGGACTGATTTTCTTTAGGATGAACTGGTTGGATCTCTTTGCAGTCCAAGGGACTCTCAAGAGTCTTCTCCAACACTACAGTTTGAAAGCATCAATTCTTTGGCGCTCAGCTTTCTTTATAGTCCAACTCTCACATCCATACATGACTACTGGAAAAACCATAGCTTTGACTAGATGGACCTATGTTGGCAAAATAATGTCTCTGCTTTTTAATATGCTATCTAGGTTGGTCATAACTTACCCCTGGAATGCTTATGTAGGAAGCTGCAAAGACTTTAGGAGCTATGTTCCAGGAGTAATAGACAAAGAGCCAAATACATATGTTTTCCATATAAATCATAAAAATGCATTAACTTATTTTAAAAATAGACTAAATTGTCTAAGACCTACTCTTTAAAAGGTAACAGGCACAGTAGTTTCATAGATTAATTATAACCCAAGTTTACAGAACAGAAGATTCTACCTTCACCACTATAATTTAATAGTATTATAACATACTAGTTAATACAGTTAGATCTGTGTTAAATATGATTAACAAAGGCAAGTTAGGTGATCAACTTTATTTAATACATCATGAAATGGCCATTCTCCATTTCCAAGGGTCCAGAAAACTGAAAATAGAATGAGTGGCAGAAAGATTTTATAGCATAAAGAATAATGAATATGGAAGAGAAAAATAGAAAATAAACAAGGAACAAGATAATAAGTGCAGAGCCCACAGTTGGTCTGGTGTTTAGGGATTGGCTGACCGGATATTTCATTTTCTTGTCAAGAGGAACATTTATAAGAATATGAAAGTTACTTAAGTTTGGGTTTGCTGATATGACATCCCAGATAGGAGTGGCTCAATTGTGGGTCTAGAAATTTATTTTAACAGGCCAGAGAAAGAAATGAGATATGAAATTTCAAAGAAGAGCATTCTTCTATCATAATATATAGACAATTTAATTTTTTACTTGAAAAATCAAAAGAATCCATAAAAATTATTACAAATAATAAA